CCCCCCCTCCCCCCCCCTACCTACAATCAGCCTTCATCACTGTCACCACGGCCACGCTCATTTCGCCTCATTCCCGACGCACCTCCCGCCATCTCCCTGCACTTCTCGACGGGATCGGTCATCATCCCCACCAGCCGCTCGGAGAGGTGTCGGGAGAAAAAAACCCGCAGCACCGCCTCCGACACCTGCAGCCGTTTCGTTGATGGGGGGGGTAGGGGGTGGGGGGATGCGTGGTTGGGATTGTATTGCTTGGGTGTTTGTTTGTGGATTACTTGCTTCGCGTTGAGGCCGTCTGACTGACCGGCTAACACACCGCTTGCGAGAAGAAGAAGCAAATCACCGACGCTCCTTTTCCTGGTAGCTTACCCCCCGACGCGGGAGTGCTCTGGGCGCCATACAGTGGGCTAGGGGGAGGAAGTGGGCGGGAAATCGATGTTTTGTAAAGGGCTCGTCCGTTGAGGTACATGGCGTTGTTCTTGCATGTTCTGGTTGATGGCCCGAGACATTGATCACCGCCTCTTTGTAATACTGAAAGCAAGTAAACGAGTCATGTGGACACTTGCACGGCGGCAGCCGGAAAATGCTTTCGGCATCTCCACACACAGGGGCATCATTCGCAACCGTCGTAGACGTAGTACCTCGCCACCGTGGAGACAATCGACAGCAGCAACAAGATACTGACCACCGTATGCATACGAGCGCGTTAGCTCTTGGTGTGCAGAGACTGGTGTGCTTAATTATTTGTCCAACGGTCTTGTTCCAACGGTCTTTTTACCTTAGCCTCGCGGAAAAGCGCCTTCTCGAGCTTGGTCAGGGCACGCTTCCGAGTCGACCGGTCAGGGTCGGAGAGGCAGTTCAGGTCCCGCTGCAGGCGCTGCCGCATATGTGACAGGCTAGCCTCGTCGGACAGGGAGAGCCCGTCCATCGGCGCCACGGACATCGGCCGCGCGAGCTCGGCTTTTGTGTCGTTGTTGGTCGTCGGGATCGTCCCTGCCGCGTCGTAGTCGGAGGGTTAGCTTGATCGTGTGTGTGTACCTGGTGATGGCTGGTGCTTCCCCCCAGTATGTGTATCTTGTCAATGCAATACGCATGTTGAGTGTCCTTACTACTAGCAGCAACCGCTGACCAATACCAAAATACGTCGGTCTTCAAGCGGGAAAGACAAACGTAAACACGCTTTTTCTAGTAAACGGGTGTGTGTGCGTGTTTATGTATCATCAATTCTGGGCGCCATTCTAGACTATACCTTTTGCCAGATTTTTTTGCTTGACGTACAGCAGATGTACTAATATTACAGCAGTACCTGGGGTCACGCGCACGCAGGAGCAAAGTTCGACACAATTATTTTTTTTCTCCACATTTCGTTTCCTCTTAAGGTGCTCGCCTTCAATGTTTTAACGCAAAAAGAGTCCAACAGCCCCTTGGCCTCTTTGCTGTGTGTACTCACGACTAACGCGCCCTCCAGTCCTAATTTGCGGAGGTAATAGATGGCGACCTGCCGTGCACTATGTACAACTTGGCGGGCTATGTCTACTACAGCGTCTTGTTGGTTGTAGTTGAGTCTTTGTTACAGTCCAATGGTGGAGTGACGTGCTATGTAAATCCAGAGCTCCGGCACACACCAACACGCACACTCCCTGAACCTAGCGATGCAAATTGCGAGTGAGAGGCGACACAGGCACCAACACTTCAGACGTTGCACGAGCATCCTGTGTGCATTATATTTTCATTTTTTTTTTTTTTTCTCCCATCATTGGACTCTGTCCTCTGCCCCACTGGCCCCTATCCTCCACTTCTACTAGCTAGACGACCCAACCGGGGTCACATAGGAGGGGGGGGCTGGGCCCCCTCCTGCGGTTCATGCCTGAGGTATTTTTATCGCGAGAAGGGTACAGCAATCCCTTCCCTCGCGACTTCCGAAGTCGATTATGGTTTACTAACAACGAGCTTTGCAGCGCGTCGCTTTCATCCCAGACCAGGATTTATTTAGTGACAAAAAAACTCACTCTCTCCCGGGACTCGAACCCGTAACCTGGCCCTCAGCAGGCTGCGATGCTACCTACTTGTGTGCATGTGCTGGACGGGTGAAACGGTAGCTGTTTGTTTATTGCTGTGTACCACATCCGATACAATCAGCCGCGGACGTACAAGAGTTGCAGTAAACATCATCATGCCATACAATAGTAGTGTCACCACAACATATTTGCATACAGCAGTTCTTCAAAACGTCGTGTTGGGGGTCGAATACACAAGACTTTCAGGCGGCCTCCGGAGGTGCGGCACAAATCTCTGCCTGGCCGTGAGATGTACAGAGATGTACAGCAGCAGTCTTACAGCAGTACATGGTCTACAAGCAGCCCAGCAACTAGTAGTAGTGGGACATATAGCAGTCTAAAGATACACAAGTCATTGGGGATAAAAACGCTAAACCTAAAATAGCGGAGAGGCGCAAACAGCATATGCAGTCACGGCTGCAAAAAGGACGCAACAACAACCGGATCTATCATTTCTACAAGGATCTCGACACGGACGGTGTCTCTTTTCTGTCTTGCAGAGTTGTCACGGGTACTGCTGTGGAAAGCACTGAGAGATAGACGTGTGGGGGGATCGTTCATACCTCACGTGCTCGTCAAATCGCAGAGAGAATAGCTGCACACGGTATAGCACCGCCAACCAGCCAGGGGACTCCTACCTCGCCTCCTCGGCCTACTGCTGCAGGTCGCTGCTGCTGCGTAGCCCAATCGACGAAGGGGGTACGCAGAGCATAAACCGGAGGGGAGGTATCCAGGAATCTACTACTTGACATTTCTTTTTTTCAGATCTCCGTGACGGAGATCCTCCCGCCGTCCTCTCCCGCACTCTCTCTCTCACAGCGCGCTGCTCACAAACCCTCCCACAGCGAGCCCAATCACCCACCACCGGTGCCACCACGCCATCGGGATACGCGCGACACACACCATTGATAATCCGCCTGGGATCTTCCCTTGTACCATGAGTGGTATGTTGGAGAGCTCGAGCGACGACGGCTGCATGTCGGATCACTCGTTCGACTTCGTCGATGTTGAAGGCACTACCTACAGCAGCGACGGAGACGCCACGGTGACCAGCAGCCTGGCGCCTCCCAAGGGCTGGAGCACGCTCAGCCTGTCCGACGCCGAGGCCGCCAAGACGGGTCCGGCGGCCGTGACGACAGCCACCACCACCGGCGCTGCCGGCGGCCGACGCGAGTTTATTTCCGTTCCTATCGCTGCTGCCTCTTTCTGTCAAACTGCTGCGGCCGTGACCAAAAGTTCAACAAGATTTGAACCTTCGCCCCCTGCCGCCTTCAGCTGCCGCGCCTGCGGCAACCTCCTCCGGGACTGCGTGGAGTGCCCCACGTGCCACAGCCTGTTCTGCAGGGAACACCTCGCCGTCGACAAGCAGAATGGGACGAGCCCTTGCCCGTGCAAGCCGTGCACCCCTGCTCCCATCGCCACCACCCTCTCCGCTGCTTCCACGTCGTCTCCTGCTGCCGCCGCCCGCGTCCATCACCACCCTTGCGAGGCCTTCCTGCCCAACATTCCGGTGCAGCGCATGGCGGACGCCGTGCCCTCCCGGTGCGACGGCTGCGGGATCTCCCTCTCCTGGGGGGAGCTCGGTCGCCACACGTGCGACCAGCAGCTGGTGCCATGCGGGCGCAGGCAGCACGGCTGCTCCTGGTTCGGCAAGCGTCACGAACGCGAAGCCCACGAGGCCTCTTCAACTTGCCCCGGGCGCCTCGCGCTCGCGCAGGCCGAGGCGCTGGAGGCCCGCTCGGAGGTGGCCCGCCTCCGCGCCGCCGGGGAGGAGGCGGAGCGCCGCGCGTCCTCCGCAGAGATGCGCGCGTCGGAGCTCGAGGCCCGACTCGCGGCGGCGGAGAGGTGCCTGCAGCAGAGAGACCAGGAGGCCGCTTCGCTTAGGGGCAAGATCACGACGATGACCGCCGCCGCCGCCGTGACGGCCGAGGAGAACGGCAAGAAGCAGGAGAGGCTGCAGCAGCAGCTGAAGCAGCAGGCGGCGGCGGCAGCCGTGGCCCAGGACGTCAGAAGAACGGGAAAGCAGCAGCAGCAGCAGCAACAGGCGGCAGCGACACGCACTCCGCAGCCGCCGCAGCAGCATCAGCAGCAGCAGCCGCCGACCAACATGCCGTTCGCGGCGATATTGAACAGGGCTGGGTTCTCTCCTCAGACCGCTACTACCGTTTCTGCCGCCGCCGAGGCAGTCAGGCTCCCGCTGGCGGTGCCGGACAACGAGAAGTCGGGGACGGGTAGTAGAGCGGCCGCCACGGCAACGACACAGACCGTCGTCCCCAGCACCGCCAGCGGCGCCAGCGGCCGTAACACCGCGAAGGGAACGCTGTCTGCGGCGGTTAACATGACCAGGGCGGGAGGGTCGCCGCCGCGCGCTAGCGCCGGGGTCATGATGGACACGGCGAGCCAGGCGCCCGTGCCGGCCGTGGAGGCCTGCCTGAAACCCTACTTGGAAAGGCCGAGCTCGCTGCTGGGTAAGAAGGTGGTGGTGTTCTGGCCAAGGTGAGAGAAAAGACAACATGTACACGTAGTTCTTCGGTCGCAGGAAAAATCAAGCGACGCGCGATGGTGATAGGTATGTATGCATACGTGGCGTAACGTACTTGTATGAGAAATCATGTGCGCGTGTATGCGCGTCATTGCCCGACAATGCGCATGCATGTGCCTGTCTCGGTCAAGTCTGAGCGAGTCCGTCGCCGGTGGAAAATAAATAACCCTGTTGTAAATCTGTAGTGTGGTGGAAAGGGGCTGGTGTTACGGTCAACAGGAGTGGGTTAGGCGGTGGTCTCGCCCTACAAACGCGTGTGCTCGTCGATCACACTTTCTTTTTTAAACCTGAACCGAGCCTATGTCTCTGTTCCCATTCACGAAGTACAGGTTTTATCTCGAACGGGTAGTCTTTCTGTGTTCGGATTCATATGCATATGCGAAGCAGATATGACGTACAAGTAGAGTTAGCTCACGCGCGTGGGTGTTTGTTTCGATTTCCACCGCAATCACAACAACCCCCCTCCCGCTGCAGCCACGACAGCAGCAAAGTACCACACTCCACCTGTACAAGTTCTACAGCTGTACCTTTGCTGTTGTTGCTGTCCTGAAGGAATAGGTACTTGTATACCACGGAGTCAGTATGAATAGTGTCTCCGGACCTTCCTTGGCGTTCGACGACCGTTGCGTCCGTTCAACGGGCACACGCGCCCGGCTGGTGGACGATTCTTGGTTCTCTGGGACTAGGTCGGCGTTTTCTCCCTCATTTCTTGCAACAACACAACGAACACACTTCGTAATTTGATCCATGAACAAGAGTCCAGGATATAAGCCAGTACAGAGGTACTTCGAAGCAGCAAATACATATTGCAGCGTCAGCGGACACACGGCTTATTGGTGGTGCTTTGGTTATTTTCATGATTGGTTGAAAACAAGCGTCATTCTTTGCCGAAGAACGCAAAATGCAGTGCGGTCCGACCCTCTCTGCTATACTTGCGCACGACCCGACTGCCGGGATGGGCAATATTTCCAACCGAAAAAATATGTGTACATGGAACACATGATCATTCAATACAATTTGCATGCTGATAATCGTCTTCGTGAAACACACCTTTCTGTTGTTTTGAAAATATCGCATGCATGCGGTTGTACTCCTTTACATCCGGTGCCGTTGGCCACTTGCAGTTATTCCTGTGTCGTGTATCGTAAATGTCGGAGAGATGGTACCCCCGTCTTCAGCGTACTTCTCCACAACCCGGGGCGTATATACCACTGCCGACGAGGTAGTTTTGGAAACATCTCTTCGAGGGCTCTCCTGAGAGGTGTCGGTATGTTGTCGCAACTTCCTGGTTGCGGAGAATTACGCTACATGTATTAAGAAACCCTGAACACCAGGGGGGCATCT